CCGCTCATGCCAGCTGCCAGCCACTCATGGTAGCTTATGGCAGCCCACTGCAGCAGGGGCTGCAGCCTATACTGTCGCCGGTGACTCTTGGCAGCCCAGCTCCAGGTTGAGCTGTTGGTCACCATCTTAGCTGTAGAGGTCACAGCGTCACTGGTCCTCATGTGGAATCCGAACCGGAACCCTGCTGTTCAGAGCTGGTGTCCCAAGCCAACTCTTAACCAATGCGCCACTTGACCGGCCCACTGTGTCCATTTTTTAATTGGATTGTTTGGTTTTTTTTGGTATTGAGTTGTACAAGTTCTGTATAAATTTTGGATATATGAACCCCTTATTGCATGTATCATTGGCGAATATCTTCTCCCATTCAGTAAGTTATCTTTTCATTTTGTTGATGGCTTCCTTTGTTGTGCAAAAACGTTTTAGTTTTATGTAGTCCCATTTGTTTATTTTTTTCTTTGTTTCCCCCTTGCCTGAGGAGGTATATCAGAAAAAATATTACTAAGAGCAATCTCAGAGAGTTAGATCAAGAAAATATTACTAAGAGCAATGTCAGAGAGTTTACTGCCTATGTTTTCTTCTAGGAGTTTTATGTTTTCAGCCTTTGGCTCAGATTATTTTCTAAAAAATTGTCTAAATGTAAGTTATTTATGCTAATTTTTTATGACTTCTTCTGTAAGGCTCTCCTGGAAAAACTACACTGGCTGCTAAGCTATCTATCAAGAAACAAGCATCCATGGTCAGAGATGAAAATGATGATTTTCAAATAGAGAAGAAAAGAATTCGACCCTTAGAAACTACACAGCAGGTAAACAGAGTTGATTGGCAGTGAAATATTAATAATCCCATTAATTATAGCTGAACAGGGCTGTCAGGTATCAGTCTAGTTTTAAGTGGTACTTGCAGAAATTATTTGGGTCACAGATATAAATTAAATGGTAAATTATTGTAACTTTATGTAGTTACTCATTAGAAAGGAGTTTGTTATTATAAAAGATGATTTACAATAACATGTTATTAAAGTGAAACTCATGGTACTTTCTTATATATGAGAAATTTGATAGTAAAATATTTACTTAAGGCATGTATTCATAATATAGCTACTTTGTACTTTTTAACTTCTTTGTTGTTTTTATCTAATGGCATTTTTGGACAGTCAATATACTTTTGATATGAATATTTATATTATAGATATTTTTGGTATTGACAGTTTTTGTATAATGACAAGGTTTACGCTTATTTATTGTGTTTTTAATATCAATACATGGTAAAATATGTTTACTTCTAAAAATTATTGAAAGACCTGAATTCCTAGATAATTTAGATGACACATACTTTTCATAGATGAATACAGTGTTTTCTCATAGAGTTTATGACTGTGAGATGGGGAGACTGGTACTTTAATAGACTTAGTTACAAATAAAAAAGATGATTAGTTATTAATTAGTAAGATTATTATTAATGTCATTTGTGTGTAATTGTATATTTTTAATTGAATATATTAAAAAAGTATTTGCGTTCTTATGTAGTTTACCTAGTCTACTTACAATCTTTATTAACTTCCATAATCAAACCTTATTTTTAGAAATAGAATGAGCTAGTTTATTTTTGGAAAAGCACCAATTACAAATGAAGTATGAATCTATAGAGATTTTTTTTTTTAAAGATTTTTATTGGGGGAAGGGGAACAGACAAGTTGCTGTCCTTTTGTTCTTCAGTCTAGTTGTGGAGGACTTTGCTTCACTGGCCCAAGTTGGCAT